TGCCTGCTTGATATTTCTACTTGAATGTCTAATAAACATCCAAATTTAACATCATCAAAGCTAAACTTCTCATCTTTCTTCCTTTGTATCATCCTCCCTCAGATTTCCCCTCTCGTCCACATCCATCATTTTAGTTGTTTAGGTGTAAAATGTGAGAAGTTTCGTGACTTCCTCTTTCTCACACACCTACATACTGATTCATCAGTAAATCCTATGATCCTTATCTTTAAAATCTGTCCAGAATCTGACCATCTCTTACCCTGGTCCATGCATAATTGCAAGTGGTCCTGTGAAAATGCATAATTCAGGGCATAGCATATCACTGAACAACACCCACCCCCATTCCCACCCCAAAATGTTTCCCATCTTACTCAAAGTAAAAACCAACAATATCCTTACAATGACCTAAAAGTCCCTACATAATCTCATCTTTGCACTCACCCCTATAATCTCTCTAGACTTCTTGACTCTTATTACTCAATACTGTATCCACTTCACTTCAGCCACCTCAGCCTCTCCATTCGGTTTGTGAACATTTCCTCTTTGTACTTGTTATTCCCTCTGCCTAAAACACTTGTCCCCCAGATGTATGTTCACTTATATCTTTCTGGTCTTGGCTCAAATCTCTCAGTAAGGCCTTCCCTCACCTCTGGATTTAAAATCTAATACCACTAACACCTTCCTCTCCTTCTTCCCCCATTCCCCGCCAATCCTCCTTTAAACCAGCTTTAGTTTTTCCCATAACAGTTTCCACACCTCGCTTGCTACAGGGAGGCAATGAAACAGGCTGCCTGGGTGTGTGTCCTAACTCTCTCTTGCAAAATGTAAGATGTTGACTTTGCTGTGCCTCAGTCTCTCTGTAAAGTAGGATAATTTCAATCTATTGGTTGTAAGGATATGTCTACAATACTTTGAGCAGTGCCTCACATAGGCTAAGTTGTGCTATTATTACCAGATTGACTTAATAATGTGTCTTCCTCCCCATCCATACGAAGGCAGAAGGTTGTTTGTTTTGTTTTGTTTGTTACTTTGTGTATTGCTGCATCTATAACTTCTAAAACACTGCCTGTGGACTCTCAGTGAATAATTTGTTGACTCTTTCTGGAAAGAGTAATGGGAAAAAGAATCAAGGAAAACTTGAGCTTTATGTATACTGTTTAAAATATTTACAGAAAGGATGTATGTATTACTTGTGCCTTCAAAGAGCACATAAGATTCCATGAAAGGTAAGCCACAGAGACAGCACATTTACAACATATAGAAGAACAAGTCCATAGCTCTAAGGGGAAGACAACCCAGTTAAGGAAGCTTCCTAGAGGAGGGATACTTTGAGAAGTGAGTTTTAAAAGATGATGTTCCAACATGTTGGAAGGATGGGGCAGTTTTCTAGAGAGAGTGTGGTATGAGGGAATTAAAAAAAACGTTGGATTTAAATGGAATTAAAAGATCATGGATTTTTTTTCCCCTGAGACTCTTTGAAGCCCCCTCATATGTACAGAAGAGGGATAAAACATGGTTGTCTCCCCTACCCCCATCTGTAAGCAGTAAAACTGGAGAGGAGGGTTGTAGTTTGAGTTTTTCCAAGCTCCAGCATCGTCTTCTCCCTTACTCATTCCCAACCCTGCCCAGAACTCCAGATAAGCGTTTAACCACAATAACGAGCTTACTCCTCCACTCAAGCAAGTGTCTTGGGCTTCTTCTCATTATTTTCCTGAAAATTTTTTCTATGATCATGTCACGCCCTTGAGAAGTTGATCTTTTTCTTTTCCATTTGATTCTGGATTCCCTGGGTGTCTGTGATATAACGAGAGAGAGGTCCACACGTCATTTCTATCTACGGGGCTTGGTGATAAAAAGAGATAGATGTATCTTTAATTTAAAGATAGTTTCATACAGTTGAATTGTATCCGTACTCCAAATCTAAACTCTTGTACGTGGTAGTGTTTAGACCCTTATCAGAGTGGAGAAATTGGCTTTCCCATGTGTGACACTAGGCTTTTTGGGGGGGTTGATTTTTTTTTTTTCCCAATCTAAGGCTTTTGCAGCTCTGCCTTCATCTGCCCACCTTCTTCTAGGCAGAGTCAGGAAAGCCCATGAAGGCACGCAAACAGAGAAAAGCAGTAGCATCACCCTCTGTGGGTACAGGCAGTCTCCCATCGGAGTGTCATTGTGTATCTACCCCGTACAGGCAGGGAGCCTAACAGGTGTTTCTTCATACTCCTCGCTCTGGCCCACTTTATTGCTAACTTGAAGTAAACTGGATTGTGTCGTAGTACCACAGGGGAACGGACCTTTTGAGTTTGCTTTTAAAGTGAGATCAATTTAAAACAAATCTAGGAGATGTGTTCATTTTGTTGTTGTTTTTAAACAGTCTAAATTTGGAGACTAGCTACCAATATGTTAATCACACATAATTTTTAAGCATTCTGTGCAGTGACTCATAAGAGTCCCCAAATAGAAACTTTTACTTTAAAAGTCACAATGACCCTAGGAAACAAAATTAGGCCTGGCAAATATACATAGCCAACGTCTGCTCTTTGCCGTCAGGAATGTAAGGTCTTGATGTACAGAGGAGGATCTTTAAGTGTAATTTCAGGGAAATGACTCCTTTCCTTTAGGCATGTAGCAGATTTCCTTTGGGCAAGAAACAAGGGCTGCCTGATACTTTCCTGTAGGGCTCTTCAGCACATTTGCTTCATTTCTACCAGCAGGCACTAGTCAAACACTTGCCTTGTTGTTTTCTTTTTTGTTGGTGGTGTGATACATCTTATCATTTGTAATATCTGCTACATATAATATCGTAGCACATCATTTACTGCTGTTATCGTTCTCAAATATAATCTTTTCAACACCCAGAGACAAATAAAGATCGAATTTATAAAGATACTTGTAGTAAAGAGCCATCATAATGAGAAAAAAATACAAGGAGGTGTTTAACTCTGCCAGAAACAATTTGTGGCAGTCGTAAAGATATGACCCAGGCCATGCGGGGGAGGAGACTTCCAGAGCAAACAATGAATGCAGGAGCGGGTGGGAGCATTAGAATTGATTGTGATGATGTATATACAACTGACAGTGTATGATATGTGAATACTACATCAAGAAAACTACTAAAAGGAAAAAAAAAAGAGAACCAAAGTTGACCAATGGTTACTGTGGATGAAAGAGGAAGAGTTGTTTGGGGAGCATCAAGTTTATGTGAATGGTGGTGCAATAATTTGGAAAACAATATCAATAATGGTTGTACAACATGAAGAGTGTAATCAATGGCACTGAATTATACATGTAGAGTTGTTGAGTTGGAGAATGTTTTGTCTATCTTTTTGCCACAATTTTACGAAAGAATTACATGAATAACAATGAGTACAAGGAAGAATGGTGGTGATAATTGTACAGCTCTTCTTGATATGATTGAATTGTATGACATGTGGATAAGGTGCCAATAAAACATTTTAAAAAAAAGAAATAGAATCCCATTGAAATGAGGGTCTCTCTATCTATCTATCCATCTATCTATATATAACCAAATCCACTGGGGTCAAGTCAACTCGGACAAGAGTGGACCTGCCCCACAGGGTTTCCAAGGCCGCAGTCTGTGTGGAGCAACCTGCTTCCTCTCTCTCGCTCATCAGCTGGGGGGTTCCAACAGCTGACCTTGGGGTTGGCAGCCAAGGGCTTTAACCACGGCACCACCAGGGTTCCTGACCGTGTATACATGACATGATTCATAATAATAGCCTGCTAAATAGTACTATGGACACGGTGATTGTAAAGTGCCATGTGCAGTGATTAGTTCAACATGATGAGGTTTGGGAAAGCTTCCCAGGAAAGATGATTTTGGAACTTAAAGAATGAAGAAGACTTTATCAGGCAGAGACCAGACGGCCTTTCATCTCAGACACAGAGCACAGCAGGGGCAAAGGCATGGCGATATGCCAGCTCATGACAGGTTGAGGAAGAGGGAGCAGCGGGCATGGGTGGTCTGCAGACTGCCCAGTGGAAGATGGAGCAGCTAAGTGAGCGCACAGAGATCAGCAAATCATCAGCCTCTCTAACTTGGCTTCTCCATTTTAAAATGGAGGCAATATTAGCATCAGTGCCTTAGCGCTTCACCCGTCCATCCACACATGTACCTTAATGCTGGTCCTCAAAACAGGGCAGACACAAATGTATTAGTTATTAGACTACATTATGGAAAACAGTGCAGTTCAATCCATACATTGTTCTGTAAGTAAACAGAGGGCTTTAGGCAGAAAGGAAATATGTTAGGATTTAATCTTAGAAAACTGGTCTCACTAGCTTGAATAAGGAAGAAACTAAGAGATGATAAGTTCTGAGACCATTTCTGTACTATGAATAAGAGGGAGCCTGTTGTTAGTTGCCTTTAAGGGGGTTCCAACCCTGTGCCGTCCTGCACCTGCCTCATGGTTGTTAAGTTCACTGTTGGAACCACTATATGTTGTGTGTGGCTCCACCCAAGGGGGCTCCTTCTCCAGCATTGTCTCAGACAATATGCTGTTATGAGCCACAGAGGGTTCACTAGTTAATTTTAGAAGAAGATTATCAGACTTTTCTTCCTGGTCTTTCTTAATCTGGAAGCACTTGCTGAAACCTGTCCATCATGGGTGAGCCTGCTGGTATTTGAAATACAGGCGGTATAGCTTCCAGCATCAGAGAAACCACCATAATAAAAACCAATGCTAAAATTCTGTTCCTAATTAAAAATGTCAGACTTGAAAGATTAGTCGTAACAAATCTTATGCATGAAACACACACACACACACACACACACACACACACGCACGCACTGTAAAGCACAAAGGGCTCTTCTAGTTTGGATGCTAAAATGCTCAACTGATGCTTCTGGTCTAAGCGAAATCCCTGCCCATAGCTCTTGCATACCAGTCATAGAATCTTTGCCATCTAGTTGGGTGCCATGAGCAAGAAGCCCCACCTCTTTTTTTCACCCCCCTTTTCGTAACATTAAATGTATTTGTCAGTTTCCTAGAGGAAGTTTTGGCTTCCGGACTGCACGGCAGGAGCAAGGAGAGCTCTCAAATTACAGGGAGATCCGGGAGCAGGAGATGAAATGGTGATGAGAGATGGGAGGATGGCGCAGTCTCCCCTCCACCTGCTGCCTCTTCCGCCACTGAGCAGCGCTTCCGGAGAGACCTCTGAGCTGTGCTGGTGGTTGGGGCCCATCGGCAACCCCGGAGCCTGCTGGTTCCAGAACTGTCAACACAGACTCCGCCAAAGCACCCGGCAATGAGCGGAGAAGTCTGAGCTCAGCCCAGCCTAATTTTCCTGTGATTTCTATGTAAAATAAATATGTTCCTTGTGTTTGGTAGCACAATCCCTTCCGTTTCTGATGACTTCTGAAGGGATCTCACTGAGAAAAGGGTTGGCAGCGTCTAGAGGAGTTTTGTTTACTTTAAAGTCATCATTTTGAGTAGATGCCACATTCCTCAGTTTCCTCTTCCCCCCTGTCGTCCCTTTTACTTTTCATTAACTGCATTCCTGCACAACTCGTTTCTGAAAACGCCCTATCTTTAGAGAGCCGTCGAATCGTTGTCCCCAGGTCCTGAGAAACATGTAGAACTACAATAAAGATCTGTTTGTGAAAGACACAAGTGATTGGTTTGTTTCTTTGGGGTTAATAACTCTGACTATTCCAGAGGTGGCACCTGAGCTGGCCTTACACTAGAGAGAGAGAAGGAAGGCGTTGCCTCGATCTGAAGGATATTTCAAAAGGTCAAGGCAAATCATAAAATCTGATATTGATTTATTTTAAAAGTAGTGGGAATCTGGTGGAATTATTGATGCTAGGAAATTAAGGAGTACTTACATCATCACTAGGAGCCATGCAGGTGCAGGGATTAAGCACTGGACTGCTAACTGAAAGGCTCCTGGTTCGAACCCACCAGCCACTCCAAGTGAGAAAGAGGAAGCAGTCTGCTTGTGTGAAGATTTCAGCTTTGGAAACCCAGTAGGATGGTTTCACTCTGCCTTAGGGTCACTATGAATTAGAATTGACAAGTCAGCCACAGGTTTTTAAGTCATCACAGTAAAAACTCCAGAGCACAGCCACTCCCTGGGTCTCTGTAAGACATCAACAAGAGAGGCTGTTCTTTTACGATGATAAACATGTTCTGGAGTCAGAAGGGCTAGGGCCAACCTGTGTCACAGCTGTGTGGCTGTGGGAATGCTACTTAAGCCTTTTTGTGGCTCTACTACCTCATCTATAAAACAAATAGGAGTACCTTCTTCATAGAATTGCACGGCGTAAGTGAAGGAAGAGCTAAGGCACGTAAAGCAGTTAGAACTTTAGTGCATAAGCACTCAAAAGCTGTGGCTAATAAAAACATGTAGAGCTGACTTCTTATCTCCGCCAAATGATGGGATTCCTGTCACCCGCCCATTCTACTCAGTGGCAGCTCATGAAATGAGCTTTACACACACGCTCTTGTGAAGTCTTAAAGCTTCTGTCTGTCCTAGAGCTAAATTCTGAGTTTTTTGCTTTTTGGTATGTCCATTAAAAATAAATGTTTTTTTTCTTTTACAAGTCATTGAAACCACCTGTACTTGGAGGCAATATTTAAGTGTCACATTTTACAAGCTAGTCTTTTCAAGTATATAATATGGAATTGAAAGATAATGGAATTTTTCCATGAACCTTTCAAGACCCCCTTGTATAAGAATTTAAGTGCATGCCTGTATAAAGGGGCTTCAAAAAGTTCGTGGAATTGAAAGATAATGGAATTTTCCCATGAACTTTTTGAAACCCATATGTGAGTCTGTGTGTGTGTGTGTGCGTATGTCATATAAAGAATATATAAAATAAACCACCTCTCCTCCAAGTGGTATTATTTGCCCTTCCCTCCCTCATCTAAAGATAACTTTAGAATGGGAAAAATAAGAACAGAGACATTTCTGAAACATTTCTTCACCCATCACCAGCTCCCACTGTGCCCACAAAAGCAAAACACCCAACCCACCCTCCCTGCTTTTGATGACGTCCTTTCAAGCTCACAGCAACCCTATAGGACAGAGTAGAACCCCTGTGGGGTTCTAAGGCTGCCAATCTTTACTGGAGTAAAAAGCTTCATTTTTCTCCCATGGAGCAGCTGGTGGTTTCAAACTGCTGACCTTATGGTTAGCCGCCCAATGTGTAACCCACTACGCTAATCGGGCCCCAAGCCATTGTGCCCACTCAACTGAAAATAACTGAAAGTCTGAAAAATGAACTCAACCTTCAAGATGTTTGAAGTCAAAATCCAGACCAAACCCACTACCATTGTGTTAATAACAACAGAAGTTGGTATTTTTTACTAACAGTCAAAGACTCAAAACATTTAAAGTTAAGATCTACAGAGCTGATTTCATTACTACTTTGAACTTTTCCCTTTGAAAACATTATTTTAATTAAGGTTTCATATGCTTTTAATAATCTCCCCCATAGATTGAACCACCCTAGACAAAACCTTGGTGTCCTACATGCTCTGCAAAAGCCAAGGATATTTGCTTTTACTTAAAACAACTGTTTAGTTAACAGTTTCCTCCCAATAAACTTTCAGGCAGCAATTCACAAATCCTTATCTCGGATTGCGCCTTTCTCCCTCCCTTAAATGAGTTGCTTATAAAATATTCAGTTAAGCTACTGGCAATATGTCTTAGCCAGGGGTGCAGTTAGGAAGGTAACCCCACCAAGAGTAACCCTAGTATCTAGTCTCCACCAAAGAGAAAGGTGGCCTAGGAGTGTTTTTGTGAATTGTGTGTGGTCCCGTCAAACTCACTGGAAGGGGGGTGCTATAAAAATGCGAAGGAACCCAGAGATCCTTACTCTGATTTCTCACTTGTGCGTTAGGTCTTTGGAAACAGTCCTATGGAGAACCTAATGCAGGAGCCCAAGGGTCCCCTGGTGGGAGGGAAGAAATCTGCTTGAATAATAGCCAGGGAAGAGTACGTATTTATGGCCAGTAGGAAGAGAGGTGAGTGAGGACAAGGTGAGAGAAGACAAGGCAGGAGAGGATGAGGCAATGCAGCAGTGCAGGGTAACAGGAAGGGGGCAGGATAAGGGACCATCAGCAGTAAGGAGAGGGAGCCAGAGATTTATGTAACATCTGAAGGAGCAGACAGGCCGGGAAGATTCTGCAGCCCACATGCATCTGCTCTGGAATCTGAAAATTACTTTGGAGAGTTTTTATTTGTTAGCAATCCTTTTGCCTGATGTTCCACAAAGCCCCAGCTCTTGCCTGACGTAGTGCACAGGGAGACCAGTGCTTTGCATCTAACCATTAAAAATAAACTTTTAAAATGCCATCAAGTCGATTCCAACTCATAATGCCCCTAAGAGTCGAAGTGCTCCATAGAGTTTCCAAGGCTGTAACCTTTACAGGAACTGACTGCCACATCACAATGGAGGGGGTCCCATAGCTGACCTTTCTGTTAGCAGGGGAGCACTTAAACACTGCCCTGCCAGGATGTCTTGCCTTGCTATAGGAGACAAACATTTGTTGACCAAATGAAACCTATTGGGGAAAAAAAGGGAGAGTGGGCAATGTTGTAAATTACTCCTCCCATCCTCCCCGTCCCCCCACCCCCACCCCACAAACCAGGCTTTATGAAATTATACATCCAAACCACTCCTTACATACCTAGACATCAAAGCCCCTGGAAGATATGTTGGCTAGTTTCCGCCTAAGTTCACTGGGGCATTTTGTTTCTTCACCTGGGAGGATAATGCCCTGGATTTTCACATCATTTTTTTAAACAGGGGAGCAGGAAATAAGATAGTGGGAAGAGACAGGGATGGCTTGGGAATGTGTGGGTGTGTGTAACCTAAACAGTAAACTAGTTAGGAGAAAGCCTGGGTTCTAACTACTCGGCCATTAACTTTCTATGTAAACTGGGGGCAAGCACTACGTGCCCTGCACGGTTTTCTCATTTCCCAAGTGGGGATGGTAATATTTGCTCTCTACACCTCACAAGGTGGCACTGAAGCTTTAAAGAAACTTCATTCTGAAAGGAAGAAGTTCTGTATGAAAGGCAGAGGAATGGATTTGTATGGCTCCTGGAAGAGGGTTGAGCTCCATCTTATTGGGTTAGGAGAAAAGGGGGGAGCTGGCCATCAAGAGGGGTCCCTCCTTCATTTGAGCTACCAGAAAAAGCATCCGCTACCTTTCAGACTAGAAATTTGGTCAACGCTTGTTCCTTGAGACATTTCCAGAAAGTTTTGGGGGGGTTTTCCCCCAGTTTTCTCACTTCTCTGGACCAGGAAATATTATTCGTATATGGTCATGGTGTCTAACCGCATACCCGACAGTATTTACAGGTCCTGAAGGGCAGTACTTGTCTTTTCCGAGGAGTTTCATAGGCCATCACTTACTTTCCTTGTGGATGGATATGGTCATTTATCCCACAAACTGCGGGCTGAAGAAATTAATTCAGGGGCTTGGCCAAAGGCCAGAGTGGTAACAGAAACTACAACCCAAATTTGGATCTCCTGACTCCCTTCGCATCAAATATCTACTGAGATAATAACAATAAAGTTACTGAGCTGTTGGCCTGTAGGCTCTGAGCCAGCATCTGGCTGTAGGAGTTGGCAGAGGCTCCCCCAGCCAGGGCGTCTTCTGGGCATTCGGCTCTGCCTCCTCAGGGCACTCCAGTGCGGTGGGCAGGATGGGCTTCTTCAGGGTCCGCGCAGCAAGGTGGCATATGTTTAAAGTCTAATAATTGGACTCGCCTGAAGGCAGTTCTATTGCTTCCGTGCGCGTACAAATCCCCGGTCATTCTGTCTCCCTTCTGCCTCTGTGGCACGAAGCTGGTAACCTCCGCCTCACACTTAGGGTCAGTCTCGTGATGCTCCAATAAGCACACCTGGGCACACGGGAAGGATGTGCAATTACCACGAACTTCTCTTCCCATCCCGCCTCCCGACACATCGGTCCCCTCAGGAGCATCAACCCACCCCCCGCCCCCCCGTTGACCTGCCTCCCCGCGGAGGGCGCGCGGGTTCTCGGCAGCCCCCCGCCCGACTCCG